AAACGTCGATGAGAGATAAATATCAACCAGTCGCCTCCTGCATACCCCCTACCAGGGATGTGCCCGCAACCAATGCAGATGCCCTTGACCGGGATCGAACCCGGGACCCTTCAGTCCACAGACCGACGCTCTACCACTGGGCCAAACCGGTTTTGGCGCATTAGCATTTTCATTTGTGCATTGGCTCCTCCTTCAGATCCTGAACTTTGATGCAGGCATCAGGTACAGATAAGGGAACATAAGGTGAGGCCACAGTCTGGCTAAGGTCAGAGAATAAAAATAAATAATTTCTAGATTTCTTTATATAATGGCTTTCACTGAAGTGTGGATTTGACCTCTGGAGACAAATTCTGCCATTTCTGAATTTCTCCCTTTTTAAAAAATCTGCATAATCAAAGCAACTTAATGTCCTCTAAAAGAATTTGCTTGCAGCACTATTCATTCTATTTTGTAAATAGTCCTTTTCGACATGTGAGCACTTACCACAGACTAGAATTCTGTAAATGTTCACCTTAAGAAATCAAGAGACCTATCAATTCTTGGGAACACTCATTCATTATATTTAGAAGGGCAGAACCACAAGAATATCAGTCTCCCTTGAAACCAATTTTGTTTCAAAAGACACTGCTGAGAGGCTCAGGGGTTTTCTCCTTCATGAAAGTGTGCGGCCGTGGGCCACGTTAATAGCACCTGAGCTGAGGTGATGCATTTCAGTTTGCGAGTATTTATTGTCTTCTGAGGCCCGGCAGCAGTATCAATAGCACTGTTGGTGAGTGGGAGGCGGTTGGTGTGGGTCTGGCCAGCCCGCCAAGGTTTCAAGCGCAAGCATTCTCACTGATGTCAAGGATGCCTTCTCCTCTCTGTGGCAATATCTGTAGTGACTGCAACCTGCTGGCTGGCATCCTAGGATCTCTGGTCAATTTCAGTCAGTAGCAGTTTCTTTTGAATGTCCTGTCCACTCATACTCCTTCCTTTGGGTACTAGCCCCCAATAAAAGCCCTCATTGAGAGCTGGCCCCTGGGGGACCATGCTCGTATCACATGACTCTGCCTCCTTGCTGTAGCTGGTTGGATAGACACCTGACCCAAGGAAAGTTCTTTTTGGTGTGTGGCCGAAGGAATGGATTAAGTTTAACTTCACATTTTAAGATAATACCTGTTATATTTTTTATTAAACACAGAGTACCTGGGTTTTGTGTAGAAAAAAAAAAGCAGCTTATTTATCTGTAATCAATATTTAAATCTTTGATCCATTTCCCAAATTTCTGCCTGCTAGAGAGGCATTTCCTGTAGTCCGGTATTTAAATCCCTTTCCATCTCCATCTGCACTCTCAGAAGTTGTTTTTTAACCACAAATCTAACAATATTCTATCCATTCTTCCATCAAGATTGCTCAGAAATTACATGTCCTTCTGTTGAATTCCTAAATTAATAAATGTACCATACAATTTGTCTTGGATCCATAGAATTGAGTCTTACATAATCCAGTCTGATCTGGTCAGCTCAGGCTGCCATCACTAAGTACCATAGACTGGGTGGCTTATAGACAACAGAAATGTACTTCTCACAGTTCTGGAGGCTGCAAGTTCAGCCTGGGGTGCCAGCATGGTGGGGTTTTGTTGGAGACTCTTCTGGGATGCTGACTGCCAACTGATTATTTTTTCCTCACAGCTAGAAAAGAGGACATCCCTTTTATAAGGGCACTAATCCCATTCATGTGGGCTCCACCCTCATGACCTAAGTACCTCCCAAGGCCCCACTTCCTAATACCATCACATTGGGGGTTAGGATTTCAACATATGAATTGGGTGGGGGGAGGGCACACACATTCAGCCCATTGCACACCATGGAGGAGACAATTCCTGCTCCAATTACACTGCCCTCTCAGATCACAGGTACCAGGACACACAACAGATGTTTAGACATTTTCCTGAACCTCGGGATTGCCTCCCCAACACAGAGCAAGGAATCTGCTGCCTCCCAGGGATACGTGGTCACGGCCCCTCTGACTGCCTGTTTGGGGCCATGGCATTGAGAGGAATACACCCCTAGTCCTGAGCAGCAGTTGAGAACACCATTGCCTTGGCAGCATTCTCTAGAAAACCCCGAAATGTATTTCTTTTTAGACTGCAGGAAACTCACGTCAAAACGAGTTCCAAAAAAAATGTTTATTATGCTACAAAGGCATTGTCCTCTAGACACTTTATCTGAAGTTCTTTACACATTCCATCATCTTTTTTTTCCCCCCCCTTCACAGGAACATAGGGAGTGTCTCAGGTGACCCTTGCCTACTTTTGAAACCTCCTAGCATAGTTCAAGAAACCACAGACAAGCATGCAGGCAGCGTGGTGAAATGGGAAGCACGTTGGGTCATGAAGCAGCAGGCGTGGGCCGGGGCCCTGGGCGGGTCCCTCCAGTTCTCAGGATTCTGCTTCCTTCTCCAAGGTCACCACCACCGTCCTGTGGCTTCTCCCGCTGTCCAGAGGGTCACGAGGACCACAAAGCCTCTGGGTTCTCACCGAACTCTATTTTCACTCCCACGAGGCACCTCTGAACATTTGCCTTTTCTCTGAGCCAGCTTCCCAGGGATCTGGCCCATCCACGGGGTCAGAGACTCTTCCGAGAAGGGACCCCGTCTTAGTCACAGGATATCAAACCATGGTGGCTGTCAGCCCACTAGGTGGGAACCCATGAGCAGACGGACCTCTTTTCAACGTAAGGTTTTCCTCCCATGTACTTCCTTAAACCGCTGGTGTCTAATTTAAGGGAGGGATTGATGAAGCATGCTGTGTGTTCAGTTGTCTCAGTTGACTAACTCAGTATTTCATGGGTTCTGTCAAGACTGCAATGATTTGTTTCTCATCCTCTTTGCAAGCTGGGGCCGCAGGCTCATTCTCTGTACGTTACCGGCACGTGTACAGCTCAGCCACTGTCTCAGAAGCATGTGCATATAGTTTAATTACACTAAGGTCTTAAAACTTCGTGTCCACATATAACATTTTCCGGGCATTGACCAAGCGGACAAAGCATTGGGCTGATGTCATTGCACTGATGAAATATTAATATTATTGATAAGGCGGGGCGATGTAGCTGACTCTATCAGACTCATACCATTTGCATGGAAAGGCTGAGTTTCTTTGGCTCTTTGTTCATTCAAGTGCATTGAGTACCAATTCAGATAGACTTAGGCATTGTGTTAATCGGTCCATAAAATCTTACACGGTCCATAGTGTTTTGCAAGCTGATTTAGGTTTTTGGATTACAACAACTCGCCATTGGTAGAAATATACCATATATTTTATATATATACACATGGAAATTACAAAAATACATTTTATTTATAGCTGATTTTTTTTTTTAAAGTAACAAAAAGCTAACACTATGAAAGATCAGCCAGCATACCAAAAGACACTACCTAACGTCATCCGGACAAGAGGCTTGACTGGGACTTCCCTGACACGTCACCTCCGGAACATCCCAGAAAGAGCCACTGGCCATTGGGAAATAAAAACCGCTTCTTTTGAAAAGTCTGTGCTTTGACAGTCGGATCTCCCATTCTAATCAATCCCACTCCCACTCTTCCCTCACCTTATAAACTGCCACCTTCTCTCGGTCAAGACCAAAGAAACTCGTGAGGAGAATGGCAAGATGGGCTCAGGGAATGGATACAGCTGAAGCGAGATGGATCTTGGGTGAAGGTAGGACAGGCCCTTGTTCTCCAACAGATGCCAAGCGAGCCCTCAAAGTGAAGGAGGCCACCAGAATGCAACCAGCAGCTGTTCTGGCTTGGGGCTGACTGTGCCGCAGGTGCCTCCAGGCTGGGGGACACAACATTAACCCCATAAGATCACGTGATTCACATCACCCCCACAAGGCCAGTCAGCCCAGCCATTTCAGCCAATGTCCTCCAGTGTCCGTTAACCACAGCGGGTGGGGGAAGGAGGGGCCTGGCTACCTCCATACACTTCTAAAAATGGCATTTACATTTACACGTAAATCAACGGATTTTCTACATTCAGAAGCTTCTAGGAACAGAGGCTGCGGGCTGGGGAGGCGGGGCTTCTAGCAGGCATCCATCACTAGTTCCTTTTGTGTCATGGGCAGCCCAGGCTGGACGTCATTGTGGAAAAGACAGAGATGTTTCTCATAAAAGTCACTGATGTAACTCTTATCCCAGAAGAGAGAGGAGCTTCATTCTCAGGCCAAAGAGAAAGCTCCACCAGGAGCTGTTTTCCTTTTGCAGGACCCTGAAAGCTCTGAGCACCGTTGCTCTTTCCGTTGGATCCCGGCTCACAGGGTACTCCGGTTCCAAAATGACAACACCTTTTCAAGCACCTGTCAATGCAAACCAACCACTCCCTCTCCTCTCCTCTCCTTCCTGGCCTTTCTTAATGGGGGTGTGGGAGAGGGACAGTCATTGAGGGCACTGGTTTTCACCCGATGCACCTGACTTTGAATAGGATTTCTAAACGAAAAGAACTCGGGTTTCTTGGCTGGAGTCAGGGCCTCCCTTCCAGACTGATGGTGATTGTAACGAAGACAGTCATGGCTGAATGAGAGAGTACAGTCTGGTGCGTCATCACACGCCTGCATTGCCTTTAACACAGAAACAGTGAACATGCAGGAGTCACCAAAGACAGAGCCATGGCCTCCACCTTCTGGCGATTTATTGAAATGTGGCATTGGACAGGAGCCTGTGGCTTAGTTAGTGTCTCTCCCGACGAAGGCTCCATAGGGAAATACACTGGCAGTTTCAATATAACAGAACATCAAGCGTACGGTCCCAAGCAGGGACCTCTTGCCATACAATCAGTTGAAGAGGCCGATACTCCAGTCATCCAAGGGTTTCTTCTGTTTCCCAGAAGCCCCACGATTCACCTTTTTCAGAAACTAAGGATGAGGGAGACTCACCCACTGTCAGTGCCTCAAGTTCCAATGCAGAAGGCTGGAGAAGCCCGAGGACTGTGTCCCCAGAGTCTGGAAGCCCCCGGGGCGAAGGCATTAGACCTGGAACTCAAACATGTCCGTCTGCTTCTTGGCCAGCTTGGCCACCTCCTCCCGGATGGCCTTCACCAGGGCTGCCGTGGAGATGTTGGTCAGGGGGGTATCGGGAGGGTCGTTCTCTGCCAGGCTCTGCTGAGAGGCCGCCGCGGAGGGCACGGGGCCCTGCTCCAGGCTGGGGTGCATGCCGGCCGGCTGGCTGTACTGCCGAGGGAGCCTGGACGGGGAGTTCTGCTGGTAACGGGACCGGGGGTAAGCCTCGATGTACCCTGGGAGGGGGACCTGCAGAGGATGCCGGGAGACAGAGGAGGGGCCTGGGATTAGGAAGGGGCTCGTCATAGGATGCACCTGACGCTGGAGGCAGGAGGGAAGAGATTAGGGAGAAAATGGAGGCCCCGTGCCATTTTCAAAACCTGGAGTCAGACTGATTGGAAAGTAGGTCATCTGAATATTCTCACTGGATATGCTGGTGGGAACATACCTGCATCCACATATGAATCGACGTGGCTACCTTTTTAATATAAGCAGAATCCAGCAAACAGAAGTTTGTTATAATCCAAAAATTAGAGTACTTTGAAGGTATTTGATGGGGGAAATAATCCTACAAGTCACCAGGGACCTTCTTACAGATGTCATTATAAATATTTTTTTATTGTTTTTTTACAGAGAGGAAGGGAGACAAATTGAGAGTTAGAAATATCGATGAGAGAGAAACATCGATCAGCTGCCTCCTGCACACTCCCCACTGGGGATGTGCCCACAACCAAGGCACATGCCCTTGACTGGAATCGAACCCTGGAACCTTCAGTCTGCAGGCCGACACTCTATCCACTGAGCCAAACGTGCCAAGGCCAGATGTCATTTTAGTATAGTGATGGATAATAACGATGCTGAATCATTGGCTAACGACAAATTCAATTATGCTCCTTTTTTAAAGAAGAGGGTGGAAGGATAGAATTCATTCCAGAATTTTAAAAATGCAAGATGGCATATATTTTAAAACATTTTAGAAATTCGAGGGGTAAACTTTGATCACCAGGAAAATTAATATATGTAGAATAACTTCACCCCTGATGATGTCACTTAGATCAGACATCACTGCAGTAAGAATAGACACCAACTGAAACTGGTTTGGCTCGGTGGATAGAGCATCGGCCTGTGGACTCGGGGGTCCCAGGTTCAATTCCGGTCAAGGGCACATCCCCAGTGGGTGCAGGAGTCAGCTGATCATGTCTCTCTCTCTCATCAATGTTTCTAACTCTCTATCCCTCTTAATTCCTCTCTGTAAAAAAAATCAATAAAATAAAAAAAAAATAAAAAGAATAGACACCAACTGTGAGGTTGAGTTGAATCTGTAAGGGTGGAATGTGTGAAACCCAAGAGGGATCCAGGCCTTGGGTGTCAACACATTTCCTAACTCTAGAATGCCGAGACCAAACCCTAACGTGACATACAGTATTGGGTGCCCTCGGGGCCAGCTCGGAGAGCTAGTCTTCCCTCTTTTTTTGTAATTTACATTGAGACAGTCTTTCTTATCCAAGTTGGATGGATTCACACAAAGGGGACTCCCCACTCTAAGGGCCATCCATGTGCTGTTGTCCCCTCCCCCCCCCTTGCTTTTGTTTGTTTGTTTATGTTTTCCACTTAGCAGCCCTTGACAGGTGGCTCTGAGGCTGGTCTGGGTGTGGATATCTGGGCCACAATCCCTAGTCATCACGACGGGAGAAACCAGTCCTTGGCTGAAAGTCACGCAGGAAGCTTTAGGGGGCGCATGCGAAGCAATTCGGTCTTTAGTTTCTAATATTGTACTTCATGTTCTGGTATTTCATGTAAACGTATTTTTACAGAATTATAAAGCTAAAAGGGACATCTTTAAAAACACTTTAGAAGCCAGACAGAGGCAGGTTTGGATCCTGGCCTTAGCACTTCACAAAAGTTGGGTGGCTTTATTTAGGGACTAATTGTCAGCAAAATGGGACGCATCATGGGACTAACAACCCCTACCTGATGGGATGGCCGTGAAGATTAAATGAGAGCAGAGAAATAAAATATCTAACATGGTACCCAGCCCATAGAGAATATCCCCCAAATGGCACTCCTTATAAACATTCCTTTGACTCAGGAAGAGGTAGAACCTGGCAGGTCTCACGTTCCTCTGCCCACTGACACCCCCTCTTACCACGTCTCCTTTAAGACGGCTGCCGTTAGCTGGCTGGGTGGTGGGAGGAGGAGATAACAACCCCCTCGTCTCCACCTCTCCCCCCTCTGCTCCCTGAAGCATGCCAGGCAGGGAACGTGGTGGGGAATCAGCAAGGGTCTCACCGAATCGGCCCACTGGCTCGGGAGCTCGCTCTCTCCCGCGTAGGACATCCAGGCCTGGCTGCGGTAGGACGAGGGGGGAGTCGGGATGAAGTAGCCGGTGAAGCCCGGTCTGTTGGCAGCTGGGATGGCGAACACTGCGGGCACCGTGTTGCCTGGCATGGAGGAGATGGGTGGGAGAGATTAGGCCAGTGCCGCACCCACTCAGCTGACATTTGCACAAGCTGAGGAAGCTGGGGAACAGGGGGTTGTGGGGGGGGGTGTCTGGCATTGGGGGAGTTGGTATTGGGGGAGCAGCAGACCTCCACCTGTAGCCTCAGCCTTGTTCGCTGCCCAGACAGTAGGAAAGGCACGATCTGCCGACTCAGCCTGTCTTTCCAGAGAAAGGATTGCTCACCTCCCCTGGCTGAGCCCTCTCCGGCCCCCCCCCCCCCACCCGCAGCCCAACGCCTCAGACCTGCTGACAAGAGGAAAGGGCACCTCAGTGTCCCGGGGTCGCCCTCCCAGGAGGCAGGGTGTTTTTAAAGAGCCAAGAAAAGAAACCAAAAGCAATGGATCCCCTCTCTCCCCCCCGTGGAATATCTGGGCACAGTGAATGCTTTAATAAGTGTTGACAACTGGGTGCTTGCAGGTTTAGCCTAAAAGGTAAGGTCTGAATGAACACAACATCATTCAGGGCAGGTTACAGACCTCCATGTTCACTTCAACGCTGTTGGTAATAATAAAAAGCTGGACACAACCACTATGTCCCTCCCTAGGGGAAAGGTTCTGCTGTGGCAGATCCCGGAAGAGCAGGTCACATGGCAGCTTAAAGGAATGAACTAGATCGATGTGTACCCAGCAACCAGGGTGGGGGGAGGCTGAGTCAGTGAACAAAGTGCAAGAGGAAATGGACAGCTTGACCACACTGATGCAGATGTCAAGTATAGAAAGCATGAATATATGCCAGCGATTTCCCCCTGGCGTGCTGCACCGCACGGTGTGCTGTAAGAATGTTTAACACACGTGATACCTGGCTATTTTGTCAGGAGCACTGACCTCTTTTCCCTTGGATGGCCAAATTTAAAAAAACGACGGCAGCCAACACAAAAATAGCTGTCTGGTGCGAACGAATCAAAATCAGCAGAATACATTTCTTTTGGTGTGCTGCAGAATTTTAGTAGCCTGTGGGTGCCATGAGATGAAAAAGTTGAAAACAGCAGATATATACCTAAGACTATGATGACCTATGGGGAGAAGGATCGTTATCTGTAATGCTTTTAAAAACACCGTTTTCAAAAACCGGAAATCTGGCAAAATGTTAACATATACCCTGACTGAAACATATCTTAATATTTTGTCAGATTTCAGATCTTTTTGAAAAATGAAAGGAGCAGCTCTTGGATTCCTGAGGGCGGCAGGTAGAAGGTAGTGTGGATGTTGGGTGTGTGTGTGTGTGTGTGTGTGTGTGTGTGTGTGAGGTGGGGACCAGGGTCCGATGCAGGCTCTTCTCTTGCCCACCTGAGTAATTTAAAGCTGACTGATCCAACTGTGCCACGGACACGGGGCCTCTGGACACCTGCGTAAAGGAGGCGCTGTCATGCAGATGGGCTGGCTCGGGCCCGGTGGACTCGGCCATCCTGGTCTTGCTGCCAACGTCGGAGGTGGACCTGGGCGGGCAGAGGGGCTACGTTAGCCACTTCTGGACCATGGCTGGCTGGGCAGTCACCTTGAGGAACCGCAGCAGCCTCCAAGCCCCACGAGGATTTGTCCCACAAATTCATCATGGTGGCCCAAGCTGGAGACATTTTAAAAAAAATATATTTTATTGGTTTTTCACAGAGAGGAAGGGAGAGATATAGAGAGATAGAAACGTTGATGAGAGAGAAACATCGACCAGCTGCCTCCTGCACGCTCCCTACTGGGGACATGCCCGCAACCAATGTACATGCCCTTGACCGGAATCGAACCTGGGACCTTCCAGTCCGCAGACCGACGCTCTATCCACTGAGCCAAACCGGTTTCAGAGACATTTTTATTTTTATTCTTAATATATTTTTATTGATTTCAGAGAGGAAGGGAGAAGGAGAGATAAAACCATCAATGATGAAAGAGAATCATTGACCAGCTGGCTGCCTCCTGCATGCCCCACACTGGGGATGGAGCCCACAACCTGAGCATGTGCCCGACCGGAAATCAAACCATGACCTCTGGTTCCTAAGTCAAAGCTAACCACTGATCCATACTGGCCAGGCATTGGAGACATTATTAGATATTCAAGGTCAGTATCCCCTTGAGGATGGCTCTTATGTCTCTGGGGAGTTCAGAACTTAATTTCAACATAAAATTAAACGAAGCAATTAGCGCTGAGTATTGTCTATCTGAGAGGTGATGACATCATCATCAGCCAATGAGAAGGCTCCATTTGAAGAGCCAGAGTGCCCCCTCCTCTCCTGACACCAGGATGGGTGACTCAGAGGGCCCTGGGGACTACGGTAGTTATTGGCAGGAGCAAGATCCCCAAGACTCTGGGAAGCTCCTGGCACAGGAGCCAAGCACGTGGGCACTTCCTGGGCATTGTGAATAGGAACACTTATTTTTTCTGTCCCAGACAAGCAGAGAATCTGGCCCATTTAACACATCGTATTTCCACCAAGTGCTCAGAAAGCCAGGAGGGCAGCCTGAGCTCAGAGGCCTCTCCCATGCTTACAGGGTGCTTTAGCCACAGAGGCTCAGGGTTGCCCTATCATCAACATGGCAGGGAGGCAAAGGAAGCCACAGCAGATGGAGGCTGCCAGCCACAGGCCACCCTCTAAGCAGAGATAAAAACTATTGGTTTTGTAGAGAGGGTGGTGACCTCCTATTTGGCGAGGATGGCAGGCAGTGCAGAAGGACAGGGGAGACAGGTGGTTGAGAGAAGAGATGAAATAGATGCTGGGTTTTGGCAAACCTACCACAAAGGGTGGGTGTGAGGCTCCTCCCAGCCAGAACCCTGCAGAGTAACTGAGCGAGGGTGGCTGCTGGAGGCTCGGCTGTGTGGGGTGGGTCTCTCTTTCTTTCTCAATCCCTCCCTCCTTCTCTGCCCGGCTCACTTCCCAGCCCTGGCCTCCCTCACACTGCTACTCCTTCAGAAAACCCTTCCCAGGAGAATGCCTGCACCATCCACTTGGTGCCCTCTCAGGAATCCCAGAGCCTCTGAGAACAGTTAGGGCGCTGCTCTCATCTTACAGATAAGGAGCCAGGGACCAGTGGGGCGAAGCAACTTGCCTGGAGTTACACAGCAGGCTCCTGGCAAGTCCGAAGGAACCCTGGTCTGCTGCTTCTCACCGACCCTGAACTCGGCTGGGGCCACGGGGTGGGGTCTACACACAGCCGGAGACTCTAAGCCTCTGGGATTGAGGGCAGGGTTGCCTCTGAGGGAAAGACATTTTTTCCCCCATAAAATTCAAACCTGTGGTCCACAGACAGGGTGTGACTAGTGTTGGGGGAGGCTAGGGTCGGAAGGCCAGGGCAGTGGCCTGTTCAAACCCCTGGGACCAGTTGTTTCTCCCAGCCCTGGACAACCTGATGAGTATTTTGACCTCCCATAGAGCTCACTGCCTTTGTGTTTCTCATTTATCTTTATTAAAAACAGGTGCTGCCCTGGCTGGTTTGGATTAGTGTTTAGAATGTTAGTCCACAGACTGAAGGGGGGTTCGATTCCCAGTCACGGGCATGTACTTGAGTTGCAAGTTCAATTCCAGGCTCCCGTCAGGGAGTGTAGGAGGCAACCAATCTCTCTCTCTCTCTCTCTCTCTCTCTCTCTCTCTCTCTCTCTCTCTCTCTCTCTCTCTCTCTCTCTCTCTCTCTCTCAAAATCAATGGAAAAAAATGCCCTTGAGAGAGGATAGGAAAACAATAACAAAAGCAGGTGCTTTTTATATCAAAGGGCAAAGGCAACATATCTGAGTTCATGTGCTTTCAGCCTCTCTCTCTTGGAAGTCACGAGTTGGGGTGAGCACTGAGACGCATTGGACTCCGCCCCTAATAACAAAGGGGCATGCAGACATGACAGGAAGCAACCAGACATGAGGCAGCTGTTGTAGCGGCCCCCGCTGGGGCAATATTTACATGTTCGAGATCAGAGACGGAGCTTCCGGGGCATGGGGGCAATGACACTGGCTTTCTTCACTTGTGGGCTCTCCAGGACTTTCTATTTACAACCACAGGGAAGCCAGTTAGCCCTCTCTGTCCCCCACGTCCATCATGGTACTCGGGTGCCCCAGGCACATGGCTGTCCGTATGGGTGATGCACCAGAATGGGGCTCGGCATGAAGGAAGCCTGTCTGTTCGGGGTGTACAGGTCCAAATCCTTCCCAAATATTCCAAAACAAGCAAGCACAGGGAAGCATTACCGCCTGAGAGAAGCGACCGCCACGGGGCCAGTCCGGGGCGGTACAGGCGGAGGCGGAGAGCCCATGACCATTTCAGGAAGCTGGGAGAACCTGTAGGCCTGTGAAAGAAACAAGCAAACAGAGGGAAATCCATTAACACCCAGGGCCAGCCAACACAGAGACCCTTCTTATTTAAAGTGGAAGCAAATTTCGGAGGGGCAGGCTTTTCGTCCTTCCTCAAACTTCCCCCTTAAGATATTCCTTAAGATGTCCCCCAGCCCCCTCTTCTATCTCATCTCCTATCACCGTCCCCTTTGCTTAGGCCACTGTGGTCACAGAGTCCTTCGAATGTTCTTTGCAAAGGTGTTCTTGGCAATTGAATACTCCCAGTTCTTTCCTGCCTGGGCTTTTGTACATGCTGCTCCTTCTCCCTGGTGTGCTTTTAATGTTGCTTGTTTATTATCTGCCACCAAGCTAGACTGTAATGAGGGCAGGGACTTTGTTGCCAGCTAGCTCCTTGAGCCTGGAACAATGCCTGGTATATTAAAGGCAATCCATAAATATTAGATGAATGAGCCACTGGTTGCATTTTGCTTTCTCACTCATGGAAATGAGGTTTAACGGGGAAAGCAATGGGCTTGGAATCAGGAGGTATGAGTGGAGGGCCTCGTTTGCTGATGAATAGACTTTATGTCCCTAAGCAAGACAGGTGACCTCTCTGGGCCTCAGTGTCCTCTTTTGAAATGGAAAAAGACACCTTGCTCAGAGGGGTACTGCGAAAATCAGGCAAGTGAGTGAAGTATTTTGCAATCTATAAAGCACTATTCAAAGACAAATGATTGGAACTGTCACAAAAGTGTAGACTTTAATCAACACTTGAGGGGATAAGAGGACAACTGTCGGTGACAGGATCAGAGAGCCAGGCCACAGCCTTCTTAACAAGAGCAAATCTAGGAATGCTCTCTGGGGAGATAAAGCTGAGCTTGTGCTTCTCATTCATCTTTTTCTTTAGGCACCTCGGCCTGCCAGATCTCTCGATGACCAGAGGACAAGATCAGTCTGAAGGCATCAGGACCAAAAGCAGCAGTAGAGGGAATCTGTAAACGGAATGAGTCTCCTCCCTTCAGCCTTATGGCAGACTGTATACTCATCAGGGCCAACCCACTAAATAACAACCTGATCCTGGATAAAACATACCTTTGAAGCACAGCGGCAAGTGCAAGATATAAGAGGAATCTCAAGGACTCCACTCCATCTTTCAGTTTTGCTTACCACTCACTATTTCCAGCTCTGGTTTCAGCTCATGGTTCTATTTCAGGTTGCTGAGGTGTGTGTGTGTGTGTGTGTGTGTGTGTGTGTGTGTGTGTGTGTCCGCGGGGATGGGGGGGAGGGTGTACCCTGGTGAATTTGGCTCTTCACTTACCTGCACGGTGACAGCGTGGGGACTTCCCTGAACTCTCAAGTTTTGCTGAGAATTTAAAACTCATTGTCCTAGGTGTCCTTCCCACTTTGCATTCTATTATTATCCATAAACCAACAAGCAAGGACATACCTTTCCCAAAAGAGAGGAAGGGGTTGATAATCCTTCTTCTCTCATCTGGCCTCTCACAACCAGAAGAGGAGACAGACAACCTATTTTTGTCGCTGGTTCTTGGAAGGCTTGCTCTCTAGTCAGTACAGTCTCCAGCCAAGAAAAAGCTTTCTATGTCCTTGGCTGTCCTGTACCAGTTCACCAGGAGAACTGATGAAAAGTGCTGAACTTTGGACAGGTACTAAGGGAATTCCCTTCTTTGGAAAAAAAAATCCAGGCACACAGCAAGACTGCAGAAAAGGTTAGAGCCCCCTTTGGGCTGTATCCTCAGGGCCTCAAACAGGCAACCTGGTTCCTGAATCCTGGGTCCCACATAGCGTCTTCCCACATCCCCTCTGTGCAAGTGCCCCATGGTTCACTATCCTCCAGGCTCTAATACTGGCTTCTTCTCTCATGGATTTGGAACCTGGCTCCCTGCCGGCTGCTTTGTGACTGGGACCCCATTGGAAGCTATTGCTCAAAACTGTTGCCTGGTTCCAAGATTCATGATGGTGGTGTAGAATGCCCAGTTTGGTGACCAAGGACACTCACTGTCTTTTGGAATCTCTTCCCTCTCCTAGGAAGGAGTTCAGAGATCCAGGACTCAAGTAGTCCTTGTAACTAGGCCTTAAATCTTCGAGGTGGAAGGAGCCTGGGTATGACTAGAGTCAGACACCCTGGGACCAAGTTTTGGTTGTCAAGTAGAGGGAAAGAAGGTGCACAGTCTGCTCCAAGTTTCAGTCTTGATGTCCCTGGAGGGTTTTTTTTGGGGGGGGGGAGAGTAGGGGTCAAGGTCAACCCCTCTAGCAATCCCAGTAGAGAGTGAGTCCAGGTAAGACCCACTTGTGCTGGTCCCTCCTGAGCATGTGCATGCATCCAGGAAGAGGAATCTGGTCAAGGGTAGCACTCTAGGGGTCATAGTCCCAGGGGGCAGCCTGAGGCTAGAGGAACAGGTCAGAAGGTCTCAGGCTTCTCCTTGGTGGTAGGAGTACCAAATCCATGAGAAGGGAAGCTAGTATTCAGAGCCTGGAGGACTTGCCCAGAGGCTATGACAGCAGTCACCTTTTCCATGGTATAAATGCCATCAGCGTGGCCCCAAGCATGTACCTAGTAAAACCACCAGCCCCCAATTATCCTCTGGCAGAGCGCAGAGCCCTTCCTTTTGGGAAGCTGAAAAGTAATCACAGTGATCCTTCCAAATTGCCATCTTTCCTATTGATTTCCTCATTAGCATAGCGCAAGGGGGCTCCACAAGCAGTTGGGTTAAGAACCATCATTTTGACTTGTAGGCTATTGTGCATTGTAAGCTATTTTCTCCTTTCATGAAAATAGGGGCCATGTGCGCTGTTAGAAAAAAAAATCTTAATAACAAAAGAACTACCTTTGATATCCTACAGGTTGGATGGCTTCCCTCTCTGTGATTTCTCAAGCCTTTTTCCTTTGTGTGTGTGTGTGTGTGTGTGTGTGTGTGTGTGTGTGTGTGTGTTGTCATTTTTAAAGTATATCATGCTGATGTTTTTGCTCTTCCTGGCATAACTGCCAACCCCGTTCCACGACAAAGGAAACCATCTAAGTTTTCACATGCCCCACAATGACACTTTCAGATGATTTTGTTAAACCAAGCATAACGGATGTGGTTTGTGGCATCTTCTTGCCTGCCATTGGTTTTAAGGCTCATCCTGTTGATTAAGTTTTTCTCTCTGAAACCCAGATCTCTGCACGGACTCCCGGAATCTGACCTCTAGCCAAAGGGTCCTGCTGTTCTCAAGAACCCTCTTTAGACATAATTTCGGATTTTCTGGAACTCTGAGTGGGGGCCCCCAGAGCATGCGCTGAAAGGAATTTCACAGAATAGGAGAAGATGTCATCTCAGAACTGTCAGGGGAAAGGGATAGAACTAGTAGAGAGGATATTTTTTTATATGAATGACTAGCATTTACTGAGTAATTGAATGTGCTAGGGGCCGTATAAAGCACTTTAGTTAATATCAGCAAATGACTATTGGACTCTGACTAGGTGCCAGGACTGTGCTAAGCACGGTACCTGGATTTCATGCTCCCTGCAGCCCTCTTGTCTTCACCACTTTATGACTGAGGAATCTAAGGCTCAGAGTTGTGGTCACATGACACCTAGATCAGTACCTCGCAACACTGAACCACCACAAATGCTAGCTTTTATTATGTAGTTACATATCACTATGATGACTTATAAAACTCTATTAATGAGTAATCCTTGGGGATAGGCCATGAAATATTCCAAAGGTGGGATCTATACATGTACAAGGCATCGTCTATTATGGTGTATGGCTTATAAAGCTAAGTCTTTAAAAAAAAAAAGATATATGTAGATACTATGATAATGAACACAATGCAAACTAATTAACATTGTTTATTCATGGAAGGTTTGGTCATTGGGTGCTTTCTCAGCTACTGAAGTGCAGTGACATTAAATGAAGCAAACGTGACGGACACCTCTATAGCATTTACTGTGTGCCTGCATTCTTCTAGTATCTGGCATATATCAACTGGTTTTTACTCTTCACAATAACCCTAGGAAGTAGGTTACTTTAATTTGCTGATTTCATCTGTAGAGAATTTAAGTGACATCCCCAAGTGACAAAGCCAGTGAGTGGCAGAGCTGATTCAGAGTCCAGCCCCCTGCCTCCAGCGCATCTGCTCGGACCCCCAACCAGCAGCTCTAAAAATGGGTCCTCGCACATGGAAACATAGGAAAACCATCAGTGCATGAAGAATGAGGTCAGCCCTTCGCAGGAGGGATAATAGCAAAGGAAATTCTTCCTGAAGTGCATTACAGTTGGAATAAGGGCGTGTGTTCAGAGCACTCAAAGGCTTAGGCCTGAATCATGGCTGGAGGACAGGATGAGAGCCCAGCCAAGTCCCATCTCCAAATCCCAATGTGGCTTATCGCCAGACGCCCCCCTCGGAGACCCATTGGAACAGCCTGGGCAGGACTGACCTGCTACAGCCGGTGGGTGGGATGTCTTACTTACCGGCCGGGGCAGGCTGTACTGGTACATTTCTGGGCGGTAGGTCGGCACCCACTGCACCCCAGCTCTGGGCCGCGTCATGGTCCCCGGGGCGCTGGTGACCACCTCAGAGTAGGGCAGGTGCTGTGTGGAGCCGTAGGCCTCCTGGTGCCGGCTCTGGCCCGCGTGGCCCGCGGACGCCAGGCTGAAGGCCTCCTCCAGCAGCATGTGCATCTGCTGCCGGACCTCGTCGATGGAGGGCTGGGAGCTCAGCGTGGACGTCTCGGAGTGGCCCTTCATCTGCCGCGACCTGCCGTAGCCCCGCGGCTCGTTAACTCTGTCAATGTTGGTTTCCTCTATGATTTCAGGCTCGGTCTGTGGGATCAAACAAATGCCCCCGGATTTGTTAGTTCACTTTCCTTTCCATTAATGCTGCCGGTGACGTGCTCTCAGCTGGCCAGCTTGGACTGGTGGTATCAGGCATGTGGGCCCTATCCAGGGGTTCGTGTGATGGGCAGTCAGCTATCATTGCATCGGGAAGGCCACACCTCCTGTGCACCTCCCTTATCCAGAGCTCCAGCAGTGCCTCAGCTTTCCTAATGAGCATAGGCCCATGAGAAATGGCTTTTCATGGACGACATGAATGATATTCTCTAAAACCTTTTAGAGACATTCTCTGCCCCTATGTCTGTGAAGTACGAGAAGAATCTAGAGCGTTCTGCAGTCTATACTCTAGATTCTACACTAACTCTCTCCATGATCCTGGGTCCAGCCATTGGTTAGCAAATTGCTGGCTGCCTGATGCCAATTTCAGGAATAACAAAACCTGCCTCTAGGTCACTGATGTCAAGGTGTGCGCACTGAGTCAGAAGTACAGGGGCAGACACAGCCTCTGTACCTTAGCAAACCCACCCAGAGATCCTGGTGCCCGGTGAAGTTTGAGAATGTTCTCCCACCTTTCTCCAGGGAACCTTTCATTTAGGGATGCAGGAGGTTGGCCAGTTGGGGAGGGGCTGTGGGAGGGCTCCAGGGTGTGTTCAACCCTCTCACTCATTCCTGATCTGCCAGACCCCAGCAGCAAGCTAACCTACTGGTCAACTGTCTGCCCTGGTGGTCTGTGCACATCATAGCAAGCAATTGAGTGGCCTTAGCATATCACACTTTGATTGGTTGAATAGATGACCGGATACTTAGCATATTAGGCTTTTATTATATAGGATGGAATTGAAGAGGAAGAATAAAGGACTCTTGAAGCAACATATTCTAGAATTTCCTGAGTTATGAACCCCAAAGTGGATTCATGTCTTACATAGTCCTCCTTTCTGGGATATACATGTGTGTGCAGTATCACGCTGCCTCACCCAGGCACTTCATTTCTGGAGCACAAGAATGTGAAGGCTCTCTCCAAAAGGTGCCTCAAGGCAGCGATTTTCAGCTCAGTGTCAACCACAGTTTCACCCAGCCAGGAGAACAGAGATTCTGAACACACTCTGCCACTTCACAGCAAAGGCCAAGTAGGGGTTTTAGGGAGACAGATTTCTGGCCCATTTGGCCATGATGGATGGCTCTGGCTCCAGGCCCATTTCTCTCCCCACCAAATAAGGCCCTTTGAACACTATAACACAGTGCTGCTTCTCTGCCTTTGGTGCCCGCTTGGGTTGCTTAACAGCCTCATGGCAAGGGCTGCCTGTCCCCGGGGAAGCAGAAACATATTTGCAAAGCTGCTGTGGAAACCAAGCCGCAGGGAGTTTCCATCTTCTCTTTGGGGAGAGGAGCTCTCAGGGCAGGGGGACACTCAGCAGTTCCGCCCCGAGCCAGAATCTCAGCTTCTCTGATAACAAAGGGAAACTGCCTCTCAGAACAGGAAGGGGGTGGGGGGGTCAAAATAAGGGTTTGATGACTTCCCTTCCGCCATAGGTATGCAAATGGAATTTTTAAATAAGGGTTTGATGACTTCCCTTCCACCATAGGCGTGCAAATGGAATTAAAACTCTCAGCGAATTTTCTAAGTTCACTCTGATTGCTTTCCAAAGGATGACCCACAACCACTTTGGAGCTAGAAGGACATGACATGTTTCTGTATCTTATGTGGATGGAAGTGACATTACAGGGTCTTGAGGTTTCTAAGCAGAGTGGCACTTAAAAAAAAAAACATTAAAAAAAATTTAAAAAAAAACATATATATATATATATATATATATATATATATATATATATATATATGAAGGGAGAGGGAGAGAGAGCTAGAAACATCAATGAAAGAGAAACATCGACCAGCTGCCTCCTGCATACCCTCTACTGGGGATGTGCCCGCAACCAAAGAACATGCCCTTGACTGGAATCGAACCTGGGACCCTTCAGTCCGCAGGCCGATGCTCTATCCACTGAGCCAAACCGGTTAGGGCAGAGTGGCACTTTTTAATCACACGGAGGTTATGTGGGTAAAAGAACGTGTTGCCATGTCCTCGGCAAGCGGACGGGTCTCAGCATGACTCACTGCTCCCAGAACAACCCTTCCCCAGCCTGCAGGAGGAGCGTCCGGCTCCGTCCTCTGGCCTGTCCCCCTTAACTGCTGCCCTCCTCAGAGCGGTGGGAACACAACTACTGAGCGAGTCACAACAGCCCGTTTAACTTACGGTACAATGGCTGGCTGCCCTGCGTGACCTTAGCGATCCCCTCTGGAAGTGCGGCCAGTGTGCGGGCACTGGGGAGAAGGTCTTGGCAGCCTTTACAGAGCTCTTCTGTAGTCCCACCGTGCTGGAGAAAGGCGCCATTGGGAAAATACAATCCTCTCTTTGGCGTGTGACCAAATTCATATTTGTTCTGAGATGTCTAAAGTGTTAGAATAGAAAAGGAACAGAAAAAAAGCGTATCCTTCTCTCTCTCCCTTGGATTCTGTTTGCCGGTGTGGCGACAGCTCATTTAATTCCCACGAGGACCCGATAAGCAGGCACCGTTGGTATCTCCACTTTATAGATGGGAAAGCACAGACAGAAGGTGAAGGAACGAGCCCGAATTCACGCTGCTACACCGAACTGAAACTTGGACGCAGCCCAGCTCAAGAGCCCTGAGCATAACTATTCACAGCAATTCTGAGAATAATCGATGAGCCACTGTCAACTAATCAAAAATACCTTTTAAGGAGGAATCACCCTGCAAGTAAACACAAAAGAGTGGCCTCTCTCATGGGAAGCCATTTTGCTTCTTGGCTTTGAGGTGCATCATCACCTGCTTTTTTCCCTCCTCTGAGCTGAGTGGGCACGCCGGTGGCTGGAGACAGAGGGTCCATCTGGAGAGTCAACACCATTCCATAAGCAAACAGCCTCCCCCTCCGCCAACTCACGCCTGCTTGTTCTCCTTCTGAAAAACCTGCGGGCTCACAGAATCCCTCTTTGTCATCCTATCTGCCTCTGAAACGCAATCTCTACCTTCCACCAGGGCTTCCCGAGCCCCTGGGAATAGTGGCCACTGGATCCTCACCACGCTGACCCGCCCCTTTACGGAGGGAGGGTCGGCCCAAGATGAGGGGCTGAAATGGAGGGAGGACCGACAGGGAGGATCATGTGGTTTTGCCCCTTAAAAAGCCCAACCACCAATCTTCTTCAGGTACGGGGCCCTGTGGATGGGCTCCGAATCCATCCACTCTTCTCCCTGTGTCTGGGGGGGAGGGGGGGGGTGTCTAACCTGGTGCAGCTCCATTGGTGAGGTCTGATTGAGTTAAATCAATCCATGTAAGCCTCCTCCTCCCCTTACCCTCACTGCTGGGGTGATTGATAAGCTCAGTTAGTGTAAAACCCATAAGCCTTGTTCACATTTGCGAAGAGAAATTCTCTTCTTGTGTAGGACAAAGCCGTATGTAGATGTGAGGCTCGAGGCTGTGCAGCCATTCCCCCACAGAGAGAACCAACCTGCAGATAAAGCCGAGCGTGCAGAGGACAGTGCTGCCAGAGGCAGAGACATGGACCGGAGCCCCCACCACACCATGCCCGGAGCCACGGTACCCAACAGTTCCCTTAACAACTTAGGATAGTTTGAGTTGGGTGAGCTTTTTTTTTTTTTTTTTTTTTTTTTTTTTTTTTTTTTTTAATATAATGTGATTTATTTATAAATGAGAACAAATTAACAATGAACATTTCCAGAAGTTGAAAAAGGACACCAGCAGTAGTAAATGCATAGCCTTTCAATTGTCTTCAAATTCGGAGTTTTAATGATATAAAGAGGAGTAGTCAATTATGTAACCTAAAAATATTTGCTTATTAAACTATATTAGTGCTTTCAATAAACTATACAAGAAGATAATGAGACAAACATGTGCATGGATAGAATTCCATGTCAGCCATGCCAGATCCCTGCGAGGGAATTCCCAACTCTGCCTCATTCGTCTTGAGGACGCAGAGTACTTCCTGTTTAGACACACACGTTCACTTACCTGTCCAGCCTAGTCACCCTCCACTGCTTGATGACTTCCTTCCGCCATGAAGGTGCATGTCCCGGTGTCTGCTTCTGAGAGCAGACATTCACCTTCCTCCTCCGCCAGCCATTGGAGGTGGACGGGGGGCCACACAGGTGATTAATTTGACCCATTCTTCTGGGAGGGATTCTGGGGACCCTCTTCCACCGTCATATCTGGGATCAGACGAGTTTTGGTAGCCTCTTTCCTTTTTCACATCTTGCTGAAGCAGAGTTTTGAAAAACAAAACCACAGACTCAGCTATTCCCCAGAAGAAATCTGTCATCAAAGATAATCTCCACGGGGACTGACTCCTGCGGTCCAACACGTGTCCGCGTCCGTTCGCGATGCAAATCATCTCCATCCTGTGCCCCTCCTCGTGCTTTCTGTTCTTTTCGCCAACGCATCCCCACCAATAAGCACCTGTTAGACTTAACTTTAGACAGTAGTAACATCCCTTTATCTTTCAGAAGTTGAAAGATAAGGTGACCAGTCAGATAAGGTGACCAGACGTCCTGATTTCTAACAATTTGTCCCGCGTCCTGGGAATCTTTCCAAAAATGGAGACGTTTTTAAAACGCCGAGGGACGCGGGACAAATTGTTAAAAATCGGGACTGTCCCGCCAAAAGCGGGATGTCTGGTCACCTTACAGTCAAAGCCAATGTTCACATAGTTCAAAGTGATAAATCTGCCCCCGATGTTTCAGGTCTCAGCTCAGGAGTCACCTCTTCAGGTCGACACACTTGTTTGTTCATTTGCTCAGCAAAGGGAGACGCTCCATCTCCTACGCGCCAGCTCCCATTCCGGGTGCTGAGGTTCCCAGCATGAATAAAACATGATTCCTGTCCTTGAGGAGTCCAATGGGGAACGATGTACATAAACTTGCTTCCCGGCTGGAAGGCCGGGAGTAAGAGCTCTGACTGG